TTGGCTAACGATGACTCTTGAGCTATTGTGTTTTTGGACAACATGTGGCTAAATGTCATTCAGTGTGTACGTATCATACCTTGATGACCAATCTTTATCACAATACACCCAGAAGCATTTAAAGGTAGAGGTGCAGTGACTTTTTAGTATATATTTCCGAATTCATCCCAAGCCGCTTCGACTGAAATTTTGGCTGTATTTTCCAATACTATAATATCTTTTATATTTGCATTCCAGACGTTAGGTCCGGGTTAGTCTCACGTATGCTAATTTTTGACAGCTACATGGGAATCGACGACTAGAACTGCATGATCACTTTTACTTCGGGGTGGCATATAATAAAGGTTTCTGACGTCATTCTTATAATGTGTCAATATAAGGTCTTGTAAGGATGATTTAGACTCCAAGTCGTACCCAGTTGCTTCTTTCATATGTTGTACTAAAGTACATATGCTGACCGCACCAACTAGTTCCTGTTCGAAGAATCTCTCCGACAATTCAGTTCTCAGATTTTTGAAACATACAGTAGGTGTGATAAAGTCTTCTAAGATTAAACATCAACCACTTTGTGACTAAGCGTTGGAACCATCTAGCAAGAACTCATTCACCATACAATTTGGATTGCGGAAGGCCTAACTGATCATCAGCTCTTATCCTTTCAATTTCAATCGGAAACTAACTAAATCACACGTCCCACTTACATGGGATGTGTTATAATTAACGGTGAATGGTGTAAGTTTTCTCTTGATCATAGCTACTCATCCCTTATGCTTCTGAATTCTGGCGGCTTTAACTAATGTGAAACTTCCAAAATCAAGTTCTCAACTGTCTAAAGACTGTATTAGCCAAGTGTTCGTGACTGCGACTACATCCGGATTGCTAGAGTATATTTTTTCGCCTAATTTCGACTGCTCGCTGAGCAAGATCCACAGATTTGTGTGTTAGATCTGCTATGGTTCGTTATTGCTTGAATGCTATTACTGATGCGTCTTACTCAACGAACGAAGGATCAGTGACTCAGCGACTCCATAGCTGTTCTGGTTTGTTGTCCCCAACTCTGCTAACTCGATCAAGAAGTCTGGGTAAGGTGTAGAAGTGTATTCTGCAGACACACAGCAGATAACAAGTCAAGTCAAACACACATTTCAAGCGTATTTATACAAATATTTACAATCGATATTGTCATAGAAAATTTTCAAACACTAATCAATGAGTTCATAAATTGACCTATTTGCACATTTAATCGATCGTTCATCAATTGACCTATTTGCAAATCTAATTGATAGGTTCATCAACTGACTGTTATTCAAACACTTAATCTATCATTTCACCAATTGACCCCAATACAAATATTTAAACATTTAATCAATAAGTTGATCGATGCGATAAAATCTAAAAATATGAGTTTGGGGATCTATCGTCCACAACAAGATCCGAGGATCAACTAAATGGCTTTGTGCTGCACGCAAAGTGACTTCGACATCACTCTCTGGCGGAGTCTCACCATCCGAAAATTTATAATTTTTGGGTCCTCGCCAGCATCCAAGTTTAGTTTGGGTTGATTTTAAGCTCCTAGCCTTTTTGTACGACCCACGAATGATAAGTCTTTACCTACGAATGCACTAAATCTGAAGCTACTCATGTCTTTCTACAGGGACGGAAGCCAGCGCTTCCATCCAGGAGATTTATGCCTTATGCTTTCCTCCCAGTAGTTGAGCACGAACTCAAGTGACTCCTAAGTTTAGGTGTTATCAAACCAGTTAAATTGTATTAACATTGGTTGCTAACCCCAAGATCTTTGAAGCCAAAGACATAATTACTGAGAGGATGTACACTCAAAATGTAACACCAAGAGGTCAAAAATGACGAACGCGGGAGTGTAGAGTCGAAATAGAATGACTTGGATGGGCAGACTTATTTACTGTGTAGTTCATATTAAATATATTATTTTACCCCAGCACAAACATGTTCTTCGTAAGTGCCAACCATCATTGTGCTTAGTGTTTCTACTGACCGCATGGGTAAAGAAAATGATGTGAATTCCATACAAGATCTCATAGATTAGATAGTCATATCATAACAAATCTACGTTTTTGGGATAAGGACCATTTTTTCAGTAGCCACGATAAGTGAACTAATATCGAACTAGGCGGTAATCCTCCGAAATCTCAGAATAGGCTGCACTGACAGTGATAGTTAATAAACATCACTGACTTTTGTTTGCATTGAAGTAGATGCCACAACACTGGTTAGCCATCCTTTTTGATTATACGAAAAGTACTGTCCTAGCAGCCATAGTTATCGATTCCTGGTCTTACTCGGTTTGAATAGGGTGGATCAACATCGCCTAGGCATCATAAGACCATATTGAACGGTGAGTTTTTTAAATTAATCTAACTCCCATATAGCAGCGTTTACAAATCTGTTGTAAATCAGATCTATTGTTTTACTAGCATCATGTCAAACCCACCATTTGTTTACAGCTTGGTATTGCACTTATTAATATATTTTTGTGAATGAAAATAAGCTGAAGTCCATTAATTCTGGTCTGCATTAATTCGGTGCGGTACAATTTTTGTGAACATTTTATGACATAATGTTTTGTTTTGTCGTTTTTATACCGAAATTCACCTTTACTTTCGAGGATACTTATCTACACAACAACCAACAAAGATATATCGATCTTCTTTAGTAAATAGATTATTAACATTGTTAGTGTTTCGGTCCTTTCACTCAGCTGATGATCCTCTGTAGCAGCTCTTAGGTCTAAGATACTTTCTCATTGATCATTTCATGTTTAAAAACTTAGGTTACTTTCAGACCTCATCTGTCTTTATAAAAGACATAAACAATACGAGTTTGGAGTCTTCCATTTAAGCTGTATCCTGATACTCCTTACAAATTATCGAATGAAGTACTAATAGAAAACACTTTTCGTCTTTAATAAACAGGTCTCGCACCCTGTATGTATGATACCATGAATCGATAACATCAACAGTTAAATTACTTGTAACCACACATCTTGCTACCTGGGGTTGTGATTTATTTTTTTGAGAACACAAAAAATTGCATTGTCTAGCGAGTTAGATGATTTATTATTCAATACCATAGGAAACAACACGGAAATAAGGATGTCTAGTGCTAACTTTCAAATTTGCACAAAACTTGATAAATATTGCTTAACGTCTAATAAAAGAATCCATACCTAAGACTTAACATTGTCCTATATATATATTGCTTAAGATTTTCGACAACATAAAGTGAACTAGAAATTCTCTATCCATCGTTTCAAATAAATCTGAATTTTTACACTTTCAACGAAATCATATCACAAATGTGCAAAGTTTCATATAAGAACTGGTATTACTTTTTTTTAAAGTGTAATATTTAAAGTTGTAAGTAATTATTTAAACTGAATTACATCTGTATTTTGGTTTACATAATATTGTTTCAGTTATCTATTTTTGGTTTAACTTGTAGTGCAGCGTCGAGTAGCGGGTGACTATGATCACCACTACAAGAAGATTGCGTACCAGATACGAGAAGGCGATTGGAGGTTGTAACGATATATATATTTGTTGGCGATCTCGTGGTATCGAAAGAATACCGAGATTGTGCCAAAGGAGTACAAGCGGAATCACTAAGCAAACGTAAGTGCGTGCAAGGTCACAATCAACGGAAGAATGTGTGTCTTTATTACAGTTAAACAAACAAGTCCAGTAAGACAATCACTGGTACAATTGGTTATAATAATAATTGTTTCCATTAAACCAGTCGCGTTCTCTTGATAAAAGTAGGTCACTACAAGATAATGCTCCAACGGTGTATTAATGAGAAGGCGAATACGAAGTGTTGATTATGTTTATTATTGAAACACATACAACTGGGGAATTGTGGGCTTTGTTCAGCAATGAAATGTACTGGAATATTATTGTTAATGAGATTGTAGATGTTAAGTCTGTTTTACATTCTCTATCCTTATTCATTTCCATTCGACTCTTTTCAATATTGTTTTATATTACTCATTAATATTCAGTAAATAGTTGTAGCCCTAGCAACGGAAGTTTATCGTGTAATTATTCTGAAGTAGTTACATATGCTTATAACACTTATTGTATTTATCATTATAATTAGTTTATCTCAATCATGGTAGCAGTTGTTGGCAATTTTATACAGTCGTTTGATCCTTGTTTAAACATAACAGTTTCCATATTGCTTGTTCTGGGTTTGATTTTCGCTTGTTGATAAACCGTTAACCAATTTAGATACAAAGAACGACTGTCAATTTGCACTATAGAAGCCTTATTTTTATTTCACACAAAAAGACGCGGTAAACGCCATAGATACCTCACAAGTTGACGTTTGTCACTAGTTTTTGTATATCATTTAATAAAGACATATTGTTGCCCTGTGAACATCGACTAAGCACAAATCTCAATTAGGTGATTTAAACACTTCGATAAATGTAACAGTAGATAACAGTCCAATAACATAATGACTTACAATTTTATCTGTTTTACTTTATCAAACTAACTGATAAAGATATTAAAAGATATATGATTAAAACAAGATTGTAGTAAATCGAAGCATATATCAAATTTTAATGCATTTTAGTATCCATATTCAACCATCACTAGTTGAAGACCTGTATACTCCATGGTGACGAAACCGAAGTCATTCAGTCAGCTACAACGTAGTACCTGGCTCATATATGCATCGGGCCAAGTTGCCATACCTCATTAACACAACAAGATAAACACCGGATTCATAAAAGTAGTTAATTCAGAGGTGGTAATATATAAAAGAAAGTTTGCATATAAGAACATGGTACAAGAAGAAAGAATCAGTTTATAGAAAGAAAGCTATGAAGCGATTTTATTCTCTTAGTTTAAGGGAAGACAGAAAGTGTATACACTGACGCCATTGTGATCGATTCTGAGCCATGTCACACACAGTCTCCAACCAGTGGTTACAATAGTTACACGGATCCCAACCAAGTAGTCTGCATCTAACAACATGGCTCAGACTAGAAGTCAGTGACTTCAAGCACTAATGCCACATTTTGATTTGGCCGCCCCTAACTTTCTTCCAACCATCCCGAACACCGATTAGCATTGCATGTCATGATAATCGGTGTTCAGGCATACATGGTCGGAGTCAACAGGCCATAAGTAAGTCAATAAGTAAACAAAACTTAATCTTCTTCTTTTTTTTTTAAACACTTCAATGTTATTTTAGAATATACATAAATATAAAGAAACAGAAAAATCAAACAAACAAAGTGATTAGAAAAATAACTGAATTTTAACAAATTATCCCTAATATAACTTTCAACTATACACAAATTGGGGAAAAAAAGTGTTTGTCTGTCTGTGTGTGTGTGTGTGTACAAATGATTTGTTCATTAAGAAAATGAAGGCAAAATATTCAATTGATAGAAAGACAGGGGAATATATATATAAGAACAAAAGTAGTTTATAATGTAAACATGGAATATAAGCAACAAGTAAAATCTCTCTTTTGTATTTCATTGTAATCTATTGTATTGAATTGTTGAAGTTGTTGATGGTAAAAGAAAATTCCCTGAATTGAATAAATCATAATTTAAGAAATTTGAAGGGTTTATTAAATGATTAGAATTTAGTATATTAGTTGTATGAATAGGCACTATTGGTGATGATACTGATGATGATGATGATGATGATAATGATGAAGTTAGGTAATTGGGATTGTTTGTATTAGTTGATGGTATTAAACAAGCAGCTCCTATTATATATTTATTTGATCTTAAACTACTATTTGGACAATAATGTACTGCAGTTTGAGCATCGAATGGATTATTAAAATTTGCTAAAAAATTCGCTGTTCCATTTGTATGATATTGAAATGGTATAAAGTATGGTTGAGCCTTGATGAATTGAAATAAAATGTGTTTTTTTTAAAATGTAAAATCTAATAAGAATTAATTAATACTGATTATATTTATGATTGACATCATGAAACGATTGAACCTAAATCACCATGGAAGACGTGGATGCACTGGATGGCCGTTTCGTTCTGTTGTGGGACTTCTCATCAGTGCATATCCACGATCCCACTCGTGGGATTCAAACCCAGAGTTTTCAGTCTCGCTCGTGAACGCTTAACCTTTAGATTATTGAGTTGGCTGGTATCCAACGGTATTGATGTCTAACCTCAACCAATCCACGAAATTGCGTTACAATCGTCCCACAATAGGACGAAATGGCCATCCAGTGCTTCCAGGTTTTCAATGATGGTCTAACATCAATCGGTTCCTGATCTTAATCAAAAACTTAATGATCTCCACAACCCCCATAATGATAATAACTTTATTCTCTACTATTCGAGAAGCCGTTTATAACTTCAACTAATGGAACGCTTTATTCATACATCGATCATTTGTCTCATCTCTGTATATTCAGTTAGTAAATACTGAATTTACTATTGAAATGTCCTCATTTCGATGGAGTTTTGTTATTTGAGCTGGATGGTTTGTTCTTGAAGCTTTCATTGGTTCTTCTGAGTGATATCATCAGCATAAACTCCAACTAGAAGTGAACGGTTCGAATTTATTCACATGTAGTTCACAGCGGTGAGACTAATTTATGGACGAACCAATCAGGTATATGATAAAAATTCTCCGGTTTTGGTGAGAAATCAACTCATCCATTCGGCTAACTAGAGTTTTGATATCACAATTGATTGATCACTGGGTGGTGACCAATGTCGCGTGTGTCAAGTCTCTCTTAGTGCAGATCGGATGCCATCGATCATGTTGCAATGTGGCCACTAGTCTAGATGACTCGACATTGCGTGCACTATGTTGAGATTATATGGTGGTTGGAGGTAGTCAACCGGAAACCCTGGACCCGGGTTTCGTGCTACTTGGCACTCTTCAGCAAGGTGTACCTATAATCTTGAGGGAATTGGTTCTCCCTGATGGATTGGATCCCGTGTCACTCAGCTTCACAGCCCGAGACGTTACCACTAGGCTATCCGAGGTGTTTTGATATTGTAGTTGATGTCAGTTCGTGGTGAAAATCTTAAATTTAATTCCTAACCTTAACCATCAACTGTAAATCATAATTCTAATTCCTCATATCGATATATAACCCTCATTTGGTCCTAGTTCTTAGGTGGACACTCTCAAGGTCACTGTGGCGTCGCTCAAAGGTCATCCAGAAATTACAGTCTCACCTTCGTAGCTTGTCTTGTGATCTCGATATTGATTGGTTGACCATAAAGCTTTCAATGCTTACTTCATTATTTGGAAGTAAACAATGATGGGTTTAAAGTCAATCAATCAACATGGAGGTCTACAAGACAAGCTGTGAAGGACACGTGGAATAATTCGAACACTTCATTTCTGCCTGAAGTTTGTGCTGATGATGATGTCGTTTAGAAGAACAATGAAAGCACCACGACTAAACCATTCAACTCAGAGAACAAAACTCCATCAAAATCATTTACCTGAGCTACAAATCTTCTCCATCCTCTCAAAATCTCCTCATTCGGAGTTTAAGGGACATTCAACTATTTAAGTGTATGTTACCATATTTTTTTTTGTCTCTTCAATTACTACTGATAGAGTGATTGATCAGTCAATGATTTCATGAGAACTGTTACGGAACACTAAGTCAATATTGTCAAAGGTGACTTATATACCTAAAGTATTTCCTTTTTAAGTAGAGCTTGTCCATACAAAATGCACATTAAATAACTATTATTTTTAGTATTAAAAGCAGCAATCGGGCTACACTAGCTGGAACAACCGTTCCTCAAAGTCCTACCATGTCAGACAGATCGGTTGAAGAGCGGTAAGACTAAAAGCAACAAACCCAAGGTCCGAAGGCGAAGTCGTACTGCTGACTGTACAGAGGTGTGGCAGCAGTAAGGTGTTTCCTTCAGACAACCAGCATGACAGCGATGCTGCCTTCCCACAAGGAGGGGTGGGGTTAGAAAAGGTCGACCGTAAAAATGCACACCTCACCTTATCCCACGGATATCCGTCTCCGGCGGTAAGGTCTCAACAAGTACGAAGCTGACACAAAACCTACCCATAAAAAGGTGGTGTGTGACCGACCTCAAGCAGTTATCCCTTGGGCACTGCTGTCACGCTCTCAGGTCACTAAGACCACCTCTAATCCAATTTCCTTTTCAGGCACCTCCAAAACAACCCTTCCACGGTGTGGGCAACCGGGAAGTGATAACCGCCCCCATACCTCTAACAGCACTCTATTGAAGGTGGAATATTGAATGCAATGTGTTAAATAGCATACAATTCTTTTATATTATGAAGTTATAATGTAGTTGTCATTATTGATTAATTTTTGTATCACTGAGAAAGTCACATGAGTATTGTTTGCTTTTATCTTCCTATTATTGGTTTTTAGGACTACAGTTGATCAATCTCGTGTTGACATACATGCATTCTATGCAGATCGCCTTAAATCACAAGTTTTAAGAGCAAAGATGGATGGTGGTTAGCCATTGAGTCCAGGACGTGCGTTTCGTCCTATTCGGAACACGTCAACTGGATATACCTACATCCCAGAGTTGATACAAGTACATTCCACTGACGAGTCCCATATAGGACGAAACGCAGGTTTTTCGAAGTCCCTGATTGTGACACAGTTAGTCGTAGAAGTATCTGCTTTCTATATCTATAGTCTACCAAAAAAGAAAATTGAGAGGACAAATTCATCAGATCACATTTTCCACTGATCACTCATCTCTCTTTGATAAGTTTGCTTATCATACTATTAGTTCAGTCACCGTATATATATATATATATATATATATATATATATATATATATATATATATATATATATATATATATATATATATATATATATTGGTTGAAGTTAGACATTAACACTGTTGGATGCCGGCTCAATGGTCTAACGGTTAAGTGCTCGCGCGCGAAGCCAGTAGGTCTTGGATTCGAGCCCTGCGTGGTGCAGGATCGTGGATGCGCACTGCTGAGAAGTCCCATACTAGGACGAAACGGCCGTCCAGTACTTCCAGGTTTTCCATAGTGGTCTAGCTTCAATTGACTCATGATTTCAATCTGTGAAAATTTCTTAAAAAAAAATCTCCATAAAACATATTCGAATTCATAAGAACTAACCGTTAATAGATTTTGTACAGGTTTAAATAATAATTCAAGTTCTTCTTGTGTTACATCAATTGGTAAACCAGTTAATATAACTATTGATGATGATGATGATGATGATGATGATGTATGATTTGGCATATTATATTTGAATTGATTATTTATATAAGATAAAATTTTATAATAATCTATATTATTAGATGATAGATAATTGAATGTTGGAATTAATACATTTTCATAATTATGATTAGTAATTAGAGTTGGAGAAAGATTAACATTAGAGATTGTATGGAGATCATTATTATTATCTATATTGTTATGTTTTATAAATGAAGATGTATATTGAATAGGTAAATTTGTATCGGATAATTGAATTGGTGAATTGATTGCTGAAATGAAATCAGATAAATAAAAAGAAATATATTATACTTTAGCTTTGATAATAATAATAATCATCTGCTCACTAGTGACTGAATTCAACAGACACTCCTGAAGTTCTAGTGACAAGTCGTTATCAGTGAAGTTCAACCAAATCTGTTGTGAGATAGGAACTCACTGAAGACAATGGTGTACAGTGGCGCATTAACACCGTTGGATGCCAGCTCAGTGGTCTAGTTGGTTAAGCGCCTGGCACGAGACTCATAGGTCTTGGGTTCGGCTCTCGCGGGGGGCGAAATCGTGGATGCTCACTGTTAAGGAGTCCCATACTAGGACGAAACGGCAGTCAAGTGCTTCTAGGTTTTCCATGGTGGTCTACCTTCAATTGACTCATAATTATTTAATAATTGAATTCATGAATGAATTAATGTTTTAGATCATTATAGAAAATCTGAAAAGATCTGTTGACTGTTTCGTCTTAGTATGGAATTCCTCAACAGTGTGTATCCATGATCCCTCTCATGGGATTTGAACACTGGACCTATCGGTCTATCATGCGAACGCTTAACCTATAGACAATTAAGCGGGCATCTAATAGTGTTAATATCTAACTCCAATTCTCCAGTGTTTTGACATCCTGTCCGGCTTTTTATCACGTGATTTATCCACCAATCAAAATGCGACTTATAAAATGTTAGCACTGTGCCAAACCAATGACGTTCGACCGGTATGAGCAGCCTAGCGCCTTTATTGGTCCTATGTCCGCCTACCCCGTCCACTTGAGTCCAGAACATCAATACCAGCTTCCACTATGCAACGAGAATCGAATTGAACCATTTATTTCTGACATATTGGGTTAATATATCGATCAAACAGACCACAACGCACCATTAAATAGGAAACAACATTTGTACACAATGAATCCAAAAAGTGACTGTAAACATGGGAGGCAGTAATCAATAAGCTGAACATAACTTAAGAACAGTAAATCGTATAATAATAAATTATAGATCAAAATAAAGCTTATATTAAGAGGAAATATCATTATACCTAATTTAATCATTGAATAGCTATATCATGAGAATATATAAATAATAATAGTCCATCAATAAGTTTCAGACGTTACTCGTAATGTAATGTTCACTAGGATATAACATCCAGTGCTTCTAGGTTTTCCATCATGGGTTTAGCTTCAACTAATCCATGATCTCAATTATTAAAAATCAATAATATTTATAAAATGAATTCTTCTCACATCATTTACTTTGTACAAGTCTAGTTAAGGTGATGATATAAAAAAATTCATCTCATACTAGGAGGAAACAGCCGTCCAGTGCTTCTAGATTTTCGATGCTGATCTAACTTCAATGGACTCATGAATTGAACTATAAAAATTACTCAAATCTTTCCACAAAACCCTTTCTGATCATTGTCTAATTATCTTAGAAGTAATAAGATTAAAGATTCGAGCCGAAATCTTATATCAATCAATCCCTCAGTAGATAAAAATCGATATATGTGACTGACTTGTATTACTGTTTATATAAACAACATATTATAATATTTGGATTGTGACTGGTAATGAAATTCAGTACACGGATTTCGGAGAAATTCAAATACTTACATATATAATTCTATGATCTTTGGATAATTTATTGACTTTATAAATGATGTGTACTATTAATGTCGATAGATATAAATCGTATGTATCATCAATCAGAAGTGAAATAATTTGTGGCAGAAGATTATTAAGATCGAAGAAAAGAGAATGAAAACACAGAAGGAATGATGTGGAAACGAAAAAAAAACACAATGAAGTCTAAGACGATTGATTGACAATTTGCAAATGAAGTATTTGCTGTATGGTTCTTATATTTGACTAAAGGAATCTGTAATTTGTATGCTCAAATACATTCGATTGTCCCGATTTTGTGTTCTTGTTCACTAAATATGTACTCGCTACGTCAGTAATTACTTTCACGTGACAACCCAAACAGTACAGTTCACTTCCGCTTCACAGGAGAACCACACACTATATAGACTTTGACGCTACAATCTGAATAGTACAGTTCAATCCTGTGGTGCAACCACACAGGTACCAAGCACACTGGTGGAACATTCATATACACATTCACGTCACATGTATAGTTATTACGATCAATGATCGCCTGGATCAATTATGCACATCACGAACAGACCAAAGTTCACCTATTCCCTTACACGGCAGTCAAACTCATTATTGTTAGTGATCGCTACATGACTTACAATGTCCCAATCACAATGACCCTTGAGAACACTGAGAAGCAACCACCAGTATGAATGAAGAAGGTTGACCAGCAAACCAATTTTGTGCATGAACAATCAGCAAAACTTATCAAAGTAATACCGAACCATCCACAGTATCAATGGAGAACTTCCAGTCTCATATGAGACCTTTAGCTCAACATACCCATATAACTTATACTGCATACAACACATGCATAGGGTAGTAAACGAAATAGCCCAGCCTGAAGCGTTAGGGCTTAAATAACGCTTAAAACCCATTGTGTGGTGTCGGAATACTATTACTAGACCACCAAGATCATTTTTATCGCATTTGCGAAATTTTCATTTTTCCGACTTTTCAAACCCTGAGTTAGGGATAGTATCCCTAATGCCTTGCAGTATGGGGCTAAATATACTAGATTCAAGTCTCACTGTGAATAACAATATTGAGATCCAGATGCTGAATATTAAACTTAAACCCTTCTTTTTATAAATCGATAATATTTATTTCTTCTAAGATTGCAATCCATTTCATAAATATGACTTTAAGATAAATAAAACAACTCTATAGATCTATCTTTTGCTTTCACTTATTAAATAACCTTCTTATAAACAAACCCATACACGTATAAGGGTATACGTATATACTACAGAATGATGTTGTTGTGAGCACAAACACGAGTGGAGACAATCGAATGTGTTTGAACACCAAATTACAGAACATCTTAGTGAAATCTGAGAACCATACAGCAAATACTTTATTTACAAAATATCAACCAATTGTCTTAAACTTGGCTGTTTCTTTTACAAATATCAGTCCATCGTCTCAGATTTCATTGCTTCTGTGTTTTCATACCAATTGCTTTGTGTTTCTGTTCTTTCCTTCCCAATCTTTTTAATCTTCTTCTGCCAGACATCCCATTCCTGACATGAGATATATACTACTACTACCACACTCGTCTCCTCTTTAAAGCAGTCGTTCTTGTGGTGCCTCTTCTTGCCGTGCCATACTCCTCTTTTCTACAGTCTGTGCCACGCACCCCGACAAAATGTCGATTCTGCATCTCGCTGACTTTCATAGCTCCGTCGACCTGGCGAGACATCTACATCCGATGTTTACCTGGAAGCCGGAATTTCCCACTACTCCTATCTGTCAACGGCACGCGCTACAACCAGCGCTGTCCCCTAGAACACTCCACTCGACATCACCTCTCCGTACAAGAACACTCCAACCGGCACCTCACCTCTAGGCCCACAACGGCGTCCGCAGAATCGCACCCTTCCTCCCTCCTGGTTGGCAGCCACACCAAATGTAGTAAACAAGGGCGAACGTGTGGACAATCGAATGTTTTTGAACACCGAATTACAGAATATCTCACTAAAATCTGAGAACCATACAGCAAATACTTTATTTGCAAAATGTCAACCAATTGTCTCAAATTTGACTGTTCCTTTTGTAAATATCAGTCCATCGTCTCAGATTTGATTGTTCCTGTATTTTCATATCGATTGCTTTACATTCCCGTTTTTTATTCCTTTTTAGTTTTGTACTAAAATACATTCTATTTCTGATTATCAATAATATACTACTGATGACAACAGATCACAATATCCCGACCGTAGCTGCTACCTTGACGCGGTGGCCGGGCTTGCCTATCGTGATGATCTGACTGAGCTATATTGGCTGGAACATATGTTACTATAGGTTCTACCATGCCAGGCAGGTCGAGTGGAGAACGGTAAGACTAAAAGCAGCTACTCAACGTCTGAGGGCGAAGTCTTACTGCTGACTCTGGAGGGGAGTGACAGCAGTAAGGTGTTTCCCTCGGACAACCAGCATCTGCAGCGATGCTGCCTTCTCACATGGAGAGCAAAGGTTAGAAAAGATCGATCCTAAAAATGTCACACCTCACCTTACCTCACGGATTTCCGTCTCCGGCGCTGAAGCCCTTTGAAGAACGGAGCTAACACGTCAAAAAACTCCCACAATAAGTTCGTGCACGACCGGCCACAAGCAGTTGTCCCTTGGGCTCTGCGGTCACGCTCGGTGGTCGTTAAGGCCAATATTAATCCAACTTTTGTTTCAGGTTCCTCAAGAAATACCCTTCCATAGTGTGGATAGCCAGAAAGTGACACCAGCCCTCATACCCGTAACATCACACGAGACTAATTGACATCACAATTTATATATATTACAATGATTATTTAACTTTGTCATTTCTTAATAACTTACCATTTAATATATGTGAATCATCGATTTTTGTTTTAATTGGATATTTTATTATTGATTTTGACCAATTATAATTAGAATAATTTGATTTATTCCATTTTAATAATGATCCCATATGAATTCGTTGTATTGGTATATTATATATTATATTTGATAAATCAATCATTGATAATTTACCATTATAATCAATATTATATAATGCAAATGTTGGAATATTTGATAATATTTTAAATTGTTGATTATTTCTATATAATGTAGTAATAGTAAATGGTCTAATAATTAAATCATGAATAAATTGAATAGCTTCAGTGATATTCTTTAATGATAATAACCATGATGATGTATTATTATTATTATTGTTGGTGGTGGTGGTGGTGTTAGTGTTGGTGGTGGTGGTGATGGTGGTGGTGTTAGTGTTGGAAATAGTTTCCTTGAAAAATAACAAAAAAAAGAATGATCTATATTGTAACTGTTAGTTTCTTAAAACATTGAATATTCTGTTATTAATGTTAGAAATTATTGACCGTTGTTGTTGTTACTACCTTGATGTGGTGGTCGGGTGTCAATCAGTCAGTCAGTCAGTAACAACATGGAACTTTGTACTTACGTACATCAGTTCGAGCTGCTATATCATATTAGCATAGAGATGCAGTTGTCGATTCAAATCCCATAGTGGTAGATGTAGTAAGAGTTTAAGCAGTAATCTTAAAGATTAGGGTTTCAAGACGTTATTCAAGGAGTATAATCCAGTGAAATCAATTTGAAAAGAGAAAAAAAGAAGGGACATGAAGAATTTAGAAGATTAGAATTTGAGCCATGCCATTCAGGGTCTCTAACCATCGGTTGCTATCATCTCTCGCTCGGGTGTGCATATCGTGATGAATTAATACAGCTATATTAAGTGGAATAATCGTTTCTCAAAGTTCTACCACGTCAGACAGGTCAGTTGAAGAGCGGTAAGACTAAAAAAGCAACAAACTCAAAGTTCGAAGGCGAAGTTGTACTGGTGACTGTAAAGAAGTGTGATAGCAGTTAGGTGTTTCTTTCAAACAATCAGTATAACAGCGACTCTGCCTTCTCACCAGAGGAGGGTGTTAGAAAATATTGATCATAAAAATGCATATCTCGCCTTATCCTACGGATTGCCGTCTTCGACGGTAAGGTTACAATAAGTACGGAGCTAACACGAAAATTACTCACAAAATGGTTGTGTATGATCAACCTTAAGCAACTGTCCCTTGGGCACTGAAGCAACTTGAGCCGATGCATATATGTGCCTGATCCTGCGTTATAGTTGATTGACTAACGGAAACTATTTTCAAAACGCTGAATTCTTAAAGCATAGAAAGTTGTGTTTTAATGCCATTGTTAATAATCAACAATATGCACTTCATGAATATGGGCACTGTATCATTTTTTTCGTATTTACTGTGGTAATTTCTTTAGCTCTATTCTATTTCAATGTGCAAACACTGTTATAATTAGTACATTGGTTAAGTTGAGGATCTTTATGCACTTGAATGAGTTTGTCTAGTTTTATTTTAAATACTACATAGGTTGGATGATAGCTAAAAGTGGAATCTAAGATGCGCGTTACATCCTATTTGCGTCTCGTCAGCTGGATATACATGTATCCCAGAGTTGATATTCATTGAGCTCAAGTCCCAGACTGAACATCAACTTTGAGACGCAGGTACATCCAACTGACGAGTCCTAAATAAGACAAAATGTGCTTCCTATATTCCATTGATAGCCACCATCCATCTTTACTTAGAGGACTTGTAACTTAAGGCAATATCGAGGCAATCCATACGGGATGCAGATTTGCTAATAAGACACTGATCTTATACATCAATGGAAGAATTCATACAAACAATACAAAATGAATTTGGACTATCCCGACGTTTGAGACAATTGATTGACATCTTTCAAATGAAGTCTTTACTGTATAGTTCTCAGATTTTACCAAGAGGTTATGCAGTTTGTATGTTCAAATACATTCGATTGTTCCCACTTAAGTTCTCATTCACTACAATATCATTTCAATTGCAAATAGTAAATAAAGACAACATCATTATTAATTTTCTTTTACTGACTTTTAATATTAGATGTATCTTCAGTTTATGTGGTATAAAATACCAAAGTCTGGACTAAAAACGTTAGATACTATTGATAGCACAAGCCAATTCAATTTAGACATCTATTGAAAACCAGTTCAATCGTGTTGGGTGTGACGAATACACATGCTGGAGACAATGAAAGACGGTCACTTAGTGTAGCCAACTAACTAGAGTTAAACACTCATATTGTTAGATTTCTGCTCACCGGTTCAAAGATTGAGTACTCACATACAAGATTGAAGGTTCAGAGTTCGATTCCTGGCGAATACGTGTGTACGCACTGTCAAGGAGTTCCATGCTAGGACAAAACGTCTGTTGAATACTTCCTGAATCTTAATGGATGTTTAACTTAGTCTATGATATCAATAACATTTGTTAGTTTCCGTAAACCTCTACTCTGATGGCTTTAGGTACATTATTTAAACTAAGGATCATAATAAACTTAACGACGATTTAGATGGAACTAAAATGAGTGAACTGTTCATTTGATTGTACTATCAGAGATATTGAATACAAGTGGGTTTTATTCATCTAGATTCATTAGATAAGCATATTATTAAATAAAACCATTGAGTAAATAATGCAAAATAATTACCATCCTTCTCATACGATAAACCTTTGCAAAATTAGCTGGACCCAAATACAATCGAATATCATGCCTGGATGTTTCCATGGGCAGTTCATTCAACTGAACCATAGCACATGCACCACCAATTGGCATTGGTCTTGCAAATGGACAGTCAGGATCTGTTGGATCAGTTAGATCACGTATGAGCGAATTTGTAATAGGTATATTTGATAAAAGGTTATGATTCACTGAAGAATTGTTTGGTGAAATCATTGGTATGGATGGTGATATACCTCCTATTGCATTATTAAATAATACATTCTCGTTTAAGCCAGATGAATCCAATCCTGTTCCACTTGATGTTAATAAGTTATGTGGTAAACCCAAAGGGATTGTTCCAGAATTCCATAGATTTTGTATATTTGATAGGGCTCCAGCACTGATAGCCGATTTCAAATGTGTAAGTGCTGGGCTTAAATAAGTTTCTTTGTTATTACTACTGTTAGTATTACTATTGTTTACAAAATTGACTAGGTTAGAACAGTTGATTTGTGTTGCTCCATTCATTAGTGGTACACCTATGATTCCATTAGATTGGATGTTCGATAAGGCTGAATGTGTTTTCTGTCCAGATGATGAGCACTGAAATAGTGTTACATTATGACAAACCTGGTCAAAAATAAAAATAAAGTAAATAGACTAGTGAGAAAAAAGCATAGTAAACTAGTACAAATCTGATTGGTAGCACAATACAACTTCCTCACCAAATTATCTTACTTCCTTATGTCTGTTACTCCTCGTCGAGGAGCTTCGGCTTAGTTGATGTGTGTGTGTGTGTGCTTCATACATCATGTTTTCGTTCGTTTATAGAGCGATCAGAGGGGTTTTTATTAAGGTTTGTAAATTGTTAAGTAACCTGAGTCACTGTCCAAAAAGACCTATAGAAATTCTGTAATCACAATCCGAAAGTTTACTCTAGGGAGAATTGCTCATTAGAAAGTAAACACTCCTCAAACAATGTTTCACTTTTTCATACAGATGAATTTGTGATATCTGAAATGCCAATATCTAATGATGTCACCATAATTATTCATGTAAATTATTTCAACAGTTGGTTAAACTATTGAATCTACTTTCATATAGTGTTTGTTTTAAGCTGATATAACTGATGAATATATGAGATAGGACGTAATTACAATTATTAATCTTACTTTCTTTATGTCATACCCTATAACTCATTTCTTCTTCCTATTCTCATTCATACTTTTAACTTTATTTTATAATCCTTAACATAGACAACTAGATGATTACCTGGTGGTATGGTAGATGCTAACACACCATCAGTTATATTGGTCTAGAAAATGCAGTTTACATAAAAGTTTTCCTTTATATATTACACCATTGAGTTAATTGCTTCTATGAATCCGGTGTTTGTTTTGCTGTGCTAATGAGTTGTGACAACTTGGACTGATGCATGTATGTGCCTGATCCTACATTGTAACTGATTGACCTTTCAAACTAAAGTTAAGTAAGTAGATCAGTTTCACCAAACTATATCAATGATCTAAAATCATTTTCTGAGATCAGAATAGTTTATCCAATAATCAGGTAAGTCTGTATTAGTTTATTATAAAGATATTTGGTACTGGAGTATTGTTTATTATATTTTTCTTTCTTTGATTAAAGAATAGATATACAGGTGTAGTGTTTATATGAACTAATGATTCTTTTGTACTTAATGAATGCTTGATTTTGAATTCTAAATTATTTATTTGAACACATAAATATTGGCACAAAGGGGCACCAAACGCATATACACTACACAAGTCACTTGATTTGTGTATGTGTGTATGATATTGCCCGGATGCGCAAACCGAAGTAGGTGGTTTCCTTAAGGGGCCACACCCGGAACCTTCGAACTGAAGGTCTAATTTCCAAGGAAGTGGGGCGACTTATGAAGATGCTATCCGATGACTAATAATTCGTTCATACTCCATTTACTCCCTTAGGATCTTGGAGCCCGTGTGCACCAATTTGTTTGGAATGAGGATTTTCCTACTCCATCAACCCGGTTAAAGCGACAGACATTCGTTTTTCATCCCTTCAATTCCATAAACAACAGTGATGTAATGAGTGGGACTTCGTTGGTAGTGACTGTATTTCAATATGGAAAGTTGATTCTCCTCACTCTCAGCCATTTGTGCTCTCATAGTTCTTTTTGGCTTGAATCTTATTATTTTAGGAATTCCTAATTCGTATAATTATTTAAATACTTTAAACTATCACAACAATTCATAGAGAAAAAATTTGTTTCAACAAATGTTTGTTTCTAAAAAGACTAAATAATAATGATAGTTCTTTGATAGTTATTCAATAATATAGATTACAATACAAATGTAATAGAATACTTAGTTACTATTATAGAAAAAAGTACATATATTGTTGCCATAGCAACTACCTGAACCATTTCAGATGGTGATGCTTTAAATAATTCAACATATCTATCACCTAAATAATCTTTATGACGTGTTAATGCTTTAGTTGCTATATTATCATTAGAAAATAGAATAAATGCATCACCAGTTGGTCGTTGATCTGGATAAGTCACTAAATAAATTCCTTGTTCATTTAACATAATTGGTGCTTGAACAAAATTGAAAAATTCAATCTAAAATATGAAAAAACAAAAAACAAAAAAATTTATATCAACATTTAAAGTTTGATAAATATTCTGCTTAGTAACTAATTATGTAACTAACATGATTACAGTACTAATCACCAGGTTTAACACCAACCTGAAAAAATTATTCAATCATTTTAAATAAAAAAAGAATTGGATTAGATTCATGATCTAAATTATCATCACCAAATCATTATTTTTCAATAGTTCAGATTATGAATCTAATGAAACTAGACCATCATAGAAAACTTGGAAGTACTAGATGACTGTTTCATCTTAGAGTAAAACACTTTAGCAGTACACATCTACAATCTAGGACCTATCAGTCACATGCATGAACACTTAACGTTTAGACTATTGAGCTAGTATTCATTGGTGTTAATATGAAACTTTAACCAATTCATGAAATTGAGCAATATATCCATTATTATATTCAATGAATTACTATCTCCCAATAGACCCAATTGAACTCCATTTGATCATTGTTTCTCATTAGAATTCCAAAAATATACCTCTTGAAGTCAATCACTACTGAAGAACTTCACAATAGGACGAAATAGTCATCTAATACTTCCAGGTTGTTTTTTATGGTGATCTAACTTCAATTAAACTCATAATCTTAACTATTATTATCATGTATCTAAAAAAAACCAGTAGCTTCGATAGAATCACCGATAACATGATCAATGACATTTAACCATAAATACATGATGATTATCAATTCTGTCCCTTTAGAAAACCATAATTCAATCTTGTATATAAACAAAAACAACAACAACAACAATAGAGCATATCAAATATAAAGAAGATTGAAATCTTACTACTAATACTACTGCTAATACTACTGAATGAATGAATGAATTATATCACCATAAGACAACATAAATTATATAAACAAAACTAAACCTTATCCCATTGAGTATTTCGGTTTTTTTTTAGAAAAAAACACATTCACGAACAATGTAAACATAAAGAAAATAGGATAGTAAGAGAAGTGTTCCGTAAGTTCAACAGTTGAGATCATGAGTCAATTGAAATTAGACCACCATGAAAAACTTGGAATCACTAGACGGCTGTTTCAGTTAAGTATAGGAGTCCTCTTTAGTAGTGCACATCTACAATTTCGCCTCATGAGATTCGAATCCAGGACCTATCAGCCTCAAGCGTGAGCGCTTAACAACTGAATTACCAAGCTGGCATCGAAAGGTATTAATGTCTGAATTCAACTAATCCATGAAGCTGCGCCACCATCCACCATTGTCTTCAGTGAGTTACTATCTCACAACAGAACCGGTTGAATTCTACTGGTCACGGCTTCTCACTAGAACTCGAGGAAGTACTTCTTCAAGCCAGTCACTAGTGAACATATGCTGATTAGTATCATAAGAGGCTTTTGTGGATATTATAATGGTTTAATTGTTGAATTCATGCGTCAATTGATGCTAGACTACCATGGACAACCTGGAAGCACTGAATGGCTGTTTCGTTTTAGCATGGGACTCCTCATCCACGATCTCACACCGCGAGATCCAAACCCAATAAAACAAATTCATTAATTTGGTTGACATGTAATAACAGTACAAGATAATTCTATTTATAAAACTATAAACCTAAATAAATATCGAATTAGATATGAATTTAATCTATACTTATAGAAAAGATTAGTTACATAAATGGTAAAACATGATGGCATCTGTTTAAGGTTGGTACTCTTAATCTCCCAAACTGTTATTAATAAGTATGAGCTTATAAAACTCATTAAATAATGGGAATAAAGTTGATAGAACTATTTCAAATGATATCAATTAATAGGATATAGGAACATTGAAACTACTGTGTTGTGTGCTACTTATATCGACATGAGTAGTATATAATGAAAGTCAGAAATAGAATATCTGGCAATAGAAGATCGTGAAGGAAAGAAAGGGAACACGAAGCAATTGGTATGGAAATGTAAAAACAATGAACTCTGAAACGATTGACTGATATTTACAAAAGGAATAGTTCAGTTTGAGACAATTGATTGACATTTTACAAATTGAGTATTCACTCTATGGTCCTCAGATTTTAGTGAGATATACTGTAATTTGTATGTTCGAATACATTCGGTTGCCCCCCTCCCCATTTGTGTTCTCGTTCACTATACTACCATTTATACTGTAATCTATCGATTCAAGCCAATTTAGTTTACTGGTATGTTTAATACACATTAGGGTACATTTTTTATGAGCATAGAAACAAATTAAGAGTTCACTTTATTCTTCGTAAATTATAGATTAATCTTAATCACTAAAGATTTTACACATGTAATCTATATTTAATACCTTCTATTTAATCTAAGGGCCTAGTTTGTGTGTAACCGATAGATTAAAGTATCAAGATTATAGTTTATAAGAATGGTTATGTCTAAAAGATAATTTACTAGGCACTTGTTACATTCAATGCTCATTAGATTTCATAATGTAATTAACGATTTCTTTGATCTTAGAAATATGTTCAATATTATGATTTTATTGATAAAAAAGGACTCTTCTCTCCTACGAAAATAATACTTAATTACGCATGTTACCCTTCGTGGTGGAGCATAGGCCGCTTATCAGAGTTCTACATTCAAATCTGTCCTGGTCAATCTTTTCCACTTGTTTCCAGTTGCTATTCATTCTTCTAATGTCTCATTCGAAATCCGTCTTTGATATAAATCTCCGTTTTTCCTCAGGATTCCAAGTTAGCACTTGATTCGTGATGCACTTTGATGATTTTCTCAATGTGTGTCTTATCCACTTCCAGCGTCTTTTTCTAATTTCCTGTTCAGCTGGAAGTTGGTTTGTTGTCTCCTATGGTAGGGTGTTGCTGATGGTATCCAACCAACGGACATTCAGTACATTGCGTGGACAATTATCGATAAGTACTTGTACCTTCTTGATGATGGCTGTGGTAGTTCTCAGAGTTTCAGCTCCATACGTTCGTATGGAAGATTGTAACTTTGATATTGGTTGACGGTTGTTTTGAGTTCCATATATTCTTTAAATGTAGGAATGCTGTCGTTACTTTGCCAATTCTAGCCCTCACGTCTGCATCAGATCCTTCTTGTTCATCGATGATGCTACCCAGATAAGTGAAAATTGCCACCCTTTCCAGAGTTTCTCTACCAACTGTGATCGGGTTAGTGTTCTCTGTGTTGTATTTGAGGATCTTGCTTCTTCCCTACTGCTGCAGAGACTGATGTTACACTGTTTATCTTCATCTGCATTTGTTCGTGTGTATGGGATAGAAGGGCTAGTTTATCTGCGAAGTCCAAATCTTCTAACTGATTTCGAGTTATCCGTTGTATTCCGTGTTTTTTCTCAAATGTTGAGGTCTTCATAATCTAGTCAACCACCAAAAGAAAGAGAAAGGAAGATTTTAAGCAATTTTGTCTGATTCCGGTCTTCACTTGCAATGCGTCTATCAGCCGTCCTCCATACATCACCTTGCAGTTTATTCCGTCATATGAATTCCGGATGATGTTGACGATTTATTCAGGTACATAATAGTATCGAAGAGGTTTACGTAAAGCCCTCGTCTCCAAACTGTCAGATGCTTTCTCTCAGTCAAGGAAATTGATGTATAGTGACGAGTTCCATTCAACTGATTGCTCAACGATGATTCGTAGTGTCGCATTTCGGTATGTGCACGACCAATCGTTACGGAATCTAGCTCATTGATCTCGAAGTTGGGCGTCTACTGAATCTTTCACCCGGTTCATCAACACTCTGTCAAAAACCTTTCCTAGTACTGACAACAGTGTAATTCTTCCGTAGTTCTCACATTTGCTCAAACCTCTTTTCTTTGGTATCTTGATGAGGTGTCCTTCCTACCAGTCTATCGACACTTGTTCTCCCTGTCAAATCTTCCAAAGTAGAACGTAGAACAACTACGCTTGTAGTTCTTCTAGGGTTAGTACTGATACCAAGCTCAGGTAAATGAGGAGAGTTGAGCATGTGATCAGTGACCTCATCCCTTAGAAAACAACTTTGATAAAACAAAACAAAAAACACTAACCAAAATAAACAATTCAAATCATTTACAAAACTATATCACCATAATTTTCTTGATATTGGAATAAATGGCATAATCAACTTCATAATTGATTTAATATAAAGGAAACTTAAGCAGCAACTCATTTCATTTCCATCATCATAACAGCCAGACAACGTTTACTGATCGTAAGAAAAGAAAGATTTTATTATAAACCAATGAAATTATAAAGGAATAACCAATTGAACCATTAGAGTATAACTTGATCTTGGAAGCTATTTTAACACAAATCAGTCAGTCAGTCAGTCAGTCAGTCAGTCAGTCAGTCAGTCAGTCAGTCAGTCAGTCAGTCAGTCAGTCAGTCAGTCAGTCAGTCAGTCAGTCAGTCAGTCAGTAACAACGTAGAACTTCATATGTACGTTTAACATAAATACACATTGTAAGCATAAATAATTATAAGTATCTATCTTATTTAAGTCAGATTGATCGAATAATGAATGAGATTCATTAAAGGTACTATTCAAAAGAAGGTGAGATGATAATTTATCGACGACCTTGGAATGACGCTCTGGAATGACCTCCTGAGTGTCTCCATCTAATACTTAAGACTAAATGAAAGTTATAGTCCAGCATATGAGGAATTAATTGATGGTTATGGTTAGGTGTATTAGATTTAAGGTTTTTATCATGAAATGGATAAGTGAATTTTTACGTCAAAATTCAAGATCTATTATCTAATATCTGATTGATTCATTCATAAATTATAGTCTCACTCCAAAAGAATAAAATTGATTATAATGTTAAAATAGATAGTACCTATTGAATGTATTCACAGAATGCAAAATAAAACCCTCAAAAATTGAGACATTACATTATGAACTAAGAACTTTCGTCTCAATTTGATTGAATAGTTTCATCATAATATTTGGGCGTCGAGTTGATGTGAGATATAAAAAAGAGGAAGGATATTTCCATTAAAAACTCTGCCTGGTGCTACTCCGGTCCCAATCCAGAAATAAAGGAGAAGGGTTAGGTATGGGGTTAACGATTCCATCCTTTAGATTGTTAAGTGAAATAATGGATTTACTTCAAATTCAAATACAACATTCTTCCTATTTAATGTTACACTACTAATATTAAGATTAAAAGCTTAATCATCACATTATACCCCAATGGATAAATATGAGATTGATGTAAAATGTATCATCAAAAAAAAATGGATTAATACTAATTGAGAGATTTGTGTATTATGGTGAAGATTCTACAATAAAAAGTCGGAAAAACAAATTGTTTATATATGGAACGTAGAATGTAAGCCTGTTACTCCTCGTGAAGGAGCATAGGCCGCTCACCAGCATTCTCCATCCAACCCTGTCCTTGGCAATCCTCTCTAGCTCCGTCCAGTTGTAATTCATCGTTTTCATATCTGCTTTTATTATCCGACGCAATGTGTTCTTTGGCCTTCCTCTTTTTCGCTTCCCTTCAGGATTCCAAGTTAGCACTTGTCTCGTGATGCAGTTTGACGATTTGCGTAATGTATGTCCTATCCATTTCCATCGTCTTTTCCTAATTTCTTCTTCAGCTGGAAGTTGGTTTGTTCTCTCCCACAGAAGGCTATTGCTGATGGTATCCGGCCAATGGATGTTGAGTATCTTGCGTAGACAGCTATTTATAAATACTTGTACTTTCTTGGTTGTGGTTGTTGTAGTTCTCCAAGTTTCAGCTCCATACAGTAGAACTGCCTTGAAGTTGGTATTGAAGATTCTCACTTTGATATTGGTTGAAAGTTGTTTTGAGTTCCATATGTTTTTTAACTGTAGGAATGCTGTCCTTGCTTTGCCAATCCGCCTGTAGCTCTTATAGGGTTACTGCCGGTCCCAAGCCCGGGTAAAGGAGGAGGGTTGGGCATGGGGTTAGCGTCCCCATCCCATAGAAAACTAACTCGCTAAAAAAACGCTGTTTATATATGGATTAAACAAAAACTAAACGATTATGGATACACACTGCTGAAGAGTTTTACAATAGGACAAAACGGTTTTTCCAATATTTCCAGGTTTTTCATGATGGTTTAGCTTCAACTGACTCATGATCTCAACTATTGAATAAACTAAGATCATTATCAATTGATGCCGGTTATTACAGATTATATACAATAGTGACTACTAATGATTATTCAGATAAAAAGGATCTTAATATACTAACTACAAAACGAAATAAAATTATTTATATTACAGTGTTTCTAGTTACGATTTTCATTGTGCAAATATTACAGTAAAATGATTTGTTTTTGATTGAGATCAGCGTGACCATCCGTGTCAGGTAGATGATACCTGTCTCTACCTCAGTACAGTGGAAGATAGTCATGCAATTTCGCGTTTGGCTTGAGATCAGGCATTAGCGCCGTTCGATGCCGACTCAGTGGTCCAGAGGGTAGGCTTTCGCATGCGAGACTGAAGGCCCTAGGTTCGAATCCCACGAGCGGGATCCCACAACAGGACGAAACGGCCGTTCACTGCTTTCAGGTTTTCAACGGTGGTCTAACATCAGTTGGTTCATGATCTCAATCAAAAACATCATAATCTGCACAAACCTTATACTGAAAATGATTTCTGTTACTAGTAAAATGATACTAATTAATGTAATTATGAAGATCATTGAGTTTTAGTAAAATCACGAATTGATCTAATTTAGATAATCACTATAAAGGTGAAAACCCTGGATGGTTATTCTGTTTTAATATGAGACTTATGAACAGTACACATTTATGACTTCAAAATCTAGAGTCGGTAAGAGAACCTTCAGTCTAGTGGACATAAATACCCACCAAGACTTTCTAGGCTTTCAATGACTTTTTTAAAAATTTAGGTTAGTTGATAATCTCACTAATGTTAATAATTTTATGAATCTTTGGCAAGACTATAATTTATGGACAAACCAATCAGGTATAAAGTAACAGGTTTCAAATTTTGGTTGGAAATTCATTCATCCATTTGGCTAAATAGGGTTTTGGCATTATAGCTTGTGTCAGTTCATGATGAAAACCTTAATCATCAACTGTTAATGAGAATTCTAACTGCTTTATAACCCTAATTTAGTTCTGATCAGTAGGTGTTCAATCTCAAGGTCACTTCAGCGTCGCTCAAAGATCGTCCATCAATTATAGTCTCACCGAATTTGTTTATATTTTGTCTTGGAACTATTTCTGTTGTTAAGGCATCTTAAAAATAGTTCATCTGATCTCCTTAATTATATCTAGTGGTTAAGCGCTTGCATGCAAAACTGATAAGTCTTAAGTTTGAATCTCACGAGCGGGATCTTGAATTCACACTGCTGAAAAGTCTCACAATGAGACATCAACTCTGAGATGCACACACATCCAACTGCCGAGTCCCAAACAGGACGAAACGCGAGTCCTGGATTCCACTGCTAGCCACTATCCATCTTTGCTTATCATTCATTAACATTTCAATGATCAAAACCGACTACAATTTCATTCCCTTTATGTGTACATCCTGAGTAACATTGTAATCTCTAAAGTATATTTAAACATTAAGGTAGATAATTGTTTAAAACAATTTGTTTATATTAGTCTATTAAAACATAATGTTCAATATGATCATAGTATAGTGGAAACACACACTATAAAAACATGTCAATCCATCGGATTCAATGGATCACAACAACAACAACAACAGCAAAAAAGACAACATAATCACCTTCAAAACAACTAATCCTAAAGTATACCAATGAAAGAAAAATACCAAAAAAAAAAAAGTAAATAAACCATTCACCAAAAGTCAATTGTATAGTATGATTACTATTATCATTAATAATTACATGTATAGAATTGTATTAAATGTGTAATAACACGACGTAATCAATTATGCTGAAAAATAATATATAAGAAAAATCTAAATTTAAAGTATTACAATAACTAATAATTATGTAATCAATGAATGAATTAATTTCAATGGTTAAAATCATGAGTCAGTTGAAAGTAGATCACCATGGTAGATTTGGAAGCAATGGACGGCCGTTTCGTTCTATTGTGGGACTCCTCAGCAGTGTGCATCCATGACCTCAATAGAACGAAACGGCCGTCCAGTGCTCCCAGGTTTTCTATGGTGGTCGTCTTGCTTCAACGGACTCATGATCTTAACCATGGAAATTACTAATAATATCCAAAAAAACCCCATGATTATAGAATAGAAATGAGTGAGATTAGAATAGATGAACGACCTTGGAGCGATATCACAATGACCTTGAGAGTTTGCCCCCCCCTCCATATCTAATAACGTAGACTAAATAAAGATTATAAACCTATGTGAGCAATTCGATTGACAGTTTTCATCATGAACATAACATTAGGTATAATGCCAAAACTTTATTTTATCAAATGAATGAATGAATTTCACATCGAAATCCTTGATCTATAATCCTAGATCTGATTGATTCATCTATAAATTAGAATCTTATTGAATCAGAAATTAAATTATTCAATTGATTAATCAGAACTTCACTTAGAACATTTCTAAGGTTACTTACTACAGATTCAAAATCCGAATGGGTATGATAGAATTAAACTTATTTCATTGAAAAGAACTTTCCCATCACAACACATTAACCAATGAAGTATAAGAGTGTAAGAAGAGCTAATTTAGGATAGAATTCATTATTCAAAACTGTATAGTTACAATTTTCTTTCATCAATCAATCGATAAAAGAAAAAAACTTTGGATAAAACTTTCAATTAATCACTAGAACTATGAAAATGGTTACTGTAAAGGATCTTTAAGTCAATTACATTGGTTCATTCAAAATAAACCTTAGTATAATTGACAATTTCAGATAAAATGATACAAATGAGTGTCTAACTTAATGGTTATGCTTTTTTTTAGACACATTTTTTGGTTTTTGGTATAGTGATCAATTGAATTAAACTGTCAAGTGAATAATCACCAACTACATAAAAAGAAAATCACTAAACGGCATAATGAGACAAACTTTAACAATGGAATCTTGAAGAGAAACAAAAATGAGAAAGACTTAAGAACACATTACTTTGAGAAATAGAAGCAGATATTTTAAAAAAAAGGATGAATAACAACCGAAAACAATTGGAAAGGATTACTCAAGACAGAATTGGATAGAGAGTATTGATGGGCGACCGCCTATGCTCCTTTACGAAGAGTGCTAGCTGTAAGTAAGTAAGTAAGTAAGTAAGTAAGTAAGTAAGTAAGTAAGTAAGTAAGTAAGTAAGTAAGTAAGTAAGTAAGTAAGTAAGTAAGTAAGTAAGTAAGTAAGTAAGTAAGTAAGTAAGTAAGTAAGTAAGTAAGTAAGTAAGTAAGTAAGTAAGTAAGTAAGTAAGTAAGTAAGTAAGTAAGTAAGTAAGTAAGTAAGTAAGTAAGTAAGTAAGTAAGTAAGTAAGTAAGTAAGTAAGTAAGTAAGTAAGTAAGTAAGTAAGTAAGTAAGTAAGTAAGTAAGTAAGTAAGTAAGTAAGTAAGTAAGTAAGTAAGTAAGTAAGTAAGTAAGTAAGTAAGTAAGTAAGTAAGTAAGTAAGTAAGTAAGTAAGTAAGTAAGTAAGTAAGTAAGTAAGTAAGTAAGTAAGTAAGTAAGTAAGTAAGTAAGTAAGTAAGTAAGTAAGTAAGTAAGTAAGTAAGTAAGTAAGTAAGTAAGTAAGTAAGTAAGTAAGTAAATGCAATTTATATCGATTCATATGAACCAGACATCTTAAAACAATCATTGATACAATCGTTTTTCTTTTCTTATTTTTTTTCTTTATTTACAATAATGAATAGAATTGTTTTATTAAAACTTACAATTTGTTTTTTACATGTTGTATAGGGTAGACCACGTACACGTACTACAACTTGTTCACCATTTGTTAATTGATTTAAAAATTTTGTAACAGATTCTTGATCACCTACAATAATAACAATGATATATAATTCAATATAAAATAATATTACTGTAAATAATTATAAGTAGTATTTATCAAATAGAATAAATATTACTTACTTACTTTACTTATCTATTTACTAACTCACTCACTTACTTAATTACCTACATACTAACTTACTTACTTACTTACTTACCGACTTGCATACTTACTTATTGACTGACTTAATTGCCTACCTAATTACTTACTCACTTACTTACTGACTTACTTATTGACTGAATTACTCAGTCATTCACTCGCTTACTTACTTACTTAATTACTTACTATGTACAGGTTGAAATCATGAGTCAGTTGAAGCTAGACCACCATTGAAAACCTGGAAGCACTGTGAAATTTCTTAAACTCTCCACAAAACCCATTCTGATACTTACTATGTACCTATAAAAGTGTTGCTCTGGTTGTTAGAAAAGGGTGTGGGCTACGTGATTTCCCAATCATCTTAGCTTTCATCTTAAGGCGTCCTTATTCTTCATTGAACTTTGAAGGGCAACGTTTAAATGATTTAATTTATGTAATCTGGTTGGTGTTGTTTTTTAGCAAGATTTTGTAGGGGATTGGGTTGTTGACTTTATGCTCAACCCTCCCCCTTTACCTGGGCTTGGGACCAGTAGTAGTAACTCTAGAAGAGCTACAGTCGAAATAAATATTACGAAACATATTTTCATTAGATTATGCTTTATAAAATTCCTCATCTATATTAGATTTGTTTAATTGATTATGTACATTATATTTAAGTAGTAAATACAATGGTAAATAATTTTTTGTAAGCTAAAGTAGATCAATGTACTTGAACTTATGTTGAACGTATGATATTGATATAAGCCAAATTATCTAGTTGTTTAAACGTTGATGAAATCAAAAGGATTTGAATCAATTATGGTATGTGCTACTTATATCGACATAAGTAGTATATAACAATAGTCAGAAATAGAAGATTGAGGAGGAAAGAACGGAAACAGAAAGGAATTGCTATGGAAATGCAGGAATAATGAAGTCTGAAATGATTGATTGACATTTTGAAAATAAAGTATTTACTGTATGTTTGTGAGATTTTACTAAGATATTCTATAATTTTGTGTTCGATTACATTCGATTGTCCTCATTTGTTTTCTCGTTTGCTACACCATAACTAATAGCTTTCTTAGTTCAGTAAGCTGATCAACGACTGATTGTATTCAGATATCTTTCAAGTATTTCAATTGTTTTAAAGTACTGATTAATCTATTCATGAAGAGAATTTATATTAAATATTATAACAACCACTGTATTTGCTAATCTCTTTGAAAGCATAAAATCAATCTAATAACAGTATTCTCTATTCTTCTAAGTTTATTAATAACGACATTTCTTAATTAGTGGAAAGTGGCTCAATTTCGTGAATTGGTTGAATACCGTTGAATACCGAACCAGTGGTCTAAGGGTTAAGCGTTCACGCGGAGACTGAAGGCTCTGGATTTGAATCTGGCGAGCGAGATCGTGGATACAAACATCTGAGATGTCTCATACTAGGACGAGACGGTCGTCCACTACTTCCAGGTTCTCCATGGTAGTCTAACTTTAATTGACTCATGAATTCAACGAATAAATTTAACTGTTTATGATTATGACTTTAATTTAGATTAGGGTATTCAGTTTACATACTATTTTAGTTAAAACACCAGAAACAAAATATCTGGCACAATGATGTAGTTAATTAGTTTAAATATATACCAAACAGACATTTTCAAGTAAGTTCATTTAAACTCTGATTATCTGGCCCATTGAATTATAGAAGTCAAATGTGTCGTTCTGTATCCTTTGAACGGTAAATGTGAATCTACCAAACAAAGAGAGTTATTGATGAACTTCAATCGTGATAAGGTTTTATTGAGACTATAATTTATGAACAACTTTTGAGCAACGTTAAAGTGACCTCGAGAGTATCTACCTAATTAATAGGGCTAAATGGAAGTTATAAAGCAGTTTGAAGAATAAAGACAATGATTTACATTTGATGGTTAGAAATTAGATTTAAGATTTTCATCATGAATTGACATCAGTTATAATGGCAAAACTTAATTTAGCCAAATGTGTGAATGAATTTCGAGGCCGAAATTTAAAATCTGTTATCACAGATCTGATTGGTTTGTTCATAAATTATAGTCTTGCCACCCCGGTTCATTTAATTTGATGGTATTGAATAGGCTATAAATTGTATCTAAAATATTGGTTGCTATCACACTGTATAGATTATGATGAGTTTAACTCAAAATAGACAGAGTTAGATTTTGTCTTAGATTTCATTTTAGTGATTATGTCATTAGTTCACCATAGATACTTGAACATTATTCATTTGAACTGAAGTCAAATGACCATTGCGCATTCTGTTGATGATATGTTGATAGATAAATTGCTCTCTGATTATCCTTTATAAAGGTATTTTTACTAGTATTCGAAAAACAGTTACAATAGAGGTATGAGATAGTAATTAAAGTGTAGATCCATTACTAAAGGAGAAAATTTCGATCATAAGAATATTGAAAATATTCTCCTACTATATAATATTAACATCAATTTTACCAACTTTATCAAGTTCTAAGTATGCCTTCAAGAAGGATGTCGCATCAAGCTTCATTTAATGAAGCAGTATTATAGTATGAAGAATAAGAATGTGAAGTTAGTATACTTTAATGCATTTACAGAATATTCATTCGAAAGACATGACAAAATGACTTCAAGGATTATAAACTATAATCGAAATCTTTATCATTTTTTTATATGTGTTGTGTAAGGACGGTCCACGGATGAACTCGAGAAAGCTCTAAGAAACTCAAAAAGAGCTGAAGACATTCCATTCAGTCAGTTTTCTTGGAAGAATATTCCAGAATCACCACGTATAGCCTCCCTATTGAACAAATGCTAAGAACTCCCTGTATACGGATTGGATAACTATAATGATGATTTCGATTTTCACTAAGAATTATAAACACTTGACAGTTTTTGTACTATAATTGACACTGTTTGGAATAACATTCCTTTCACTTGTCTTCTGTCTTCTCATTTGCGACTTGGGAGGAACCTAGCGTCCAAGTGTTAAAGTTATACGTGGTATATTAAGCATCTGAACTCTAGATATAACATGTTGTTATTATGTAATTAATGTTACAAAACTTGATATACGCGTGTATTTAGTTCGTGTTCAGTAATGATGATAATATAGTTACAATGGTTTGGCCTTATCTCATATTCAATCAGTAATACAGTAATATAATATACCCTTGTGGACCAGGGTAAGTTTACATTGGTTTTCAGGAGAACCAGACACCATCCGGACTTTCACGTAAAAACCCAAACAGTACAGCTCAACCCCGTTTAGTAGGGGAACCAGACACCGTACAGGCTTTAACGCTACAATCTGAATAGTACAGCTCAATCCTGTGGCGCAACCATACAGGTACCAAGAACCCTGGTGGACCACATTCAATCAACTTCGAACTAATTAAATAGATAACTATTACCTAAGAATAACTCGCCTAATCTTGTAGATAAAACATTGATTATTAAAAGATAGTTTACGTGATAGACTGATCTCAATTAGATAATCACTACAATTCATTAAACATGATCACAATTAATACGTTATGGTTACCAACTCAACTGTTTACAACAATCATCTTATCAGTAATTCAATACAACACCTTCAAAACACACAACAACTCTCAACACATTATTCAAAACTCAATCGTACATAATCCCTACTTCAATCAACATATTCATTAACATGTCAAACAACAGTCAAACTGGAAAAATTAATCATCATTTTCACTTACATCCAGCACACTGAACAAATTCCTTCCCTGAAGCTGGATGGATTTGTAAGTATATCGGTTTCATTGAACCACCTATAATCTGTTGAATACCATCAGTCGAACACTCATTCCGACTATTAGCACAACTTTGATTGGTGGGATTATTGTTGTTTGTAACATGATTGTTTGATGAGGATGACGACGACGATGATGATGACGACATGATATGCACATCCGATGTACTATTTGCAATCTCTGTCATCGACGAACTACACAAATGATGTTGATTTCTTGCTAATGCAAGTTGAGCATTCTTTGAATCATTGAAAGCAACAATGGCAGTATTACTGCGTCGTCCATCTGTCAATCGAATAGCTACTCCACCAGGATGAACATTCAGACCGGTGAAATAATGAGCGATTGTAGCTGGTGTGGCAGTCCATGGAACTTGACGTATCTCAACAACTTGACTGTCCATTATTTTCAATTTACGTGAACTAATAGAATGAAATAAATAAGTAGTTGACATCTATAAAATGACAATTAGTTTATATAGCACACATTTGTATTCTTGTCTACAGAAAAAATATCGTTATGCAGAAAACGTGAAGCACTGGACGGCCGTTTCGTCCTATTGTGGGACAATTGTGGCGCGATTTCGTGAATTGTTTGAGGTTAGACATTTACACCGTTGGATGCCGGCCAACTCAGTGGTCTAGAGTTTAAGCGTTCGCGCGCGAGACCGAAGGCCCTGGGTTCGAATCCCGCGAGCGGGATCGTGGATGCGCATTGCTGAGGAGTCTCACATTAGGACAAAACGGCCGTCCAGTGCATCCAGGTTTTCGATGGTGGTCTAACATCAATCAGTTAACGATATCAATCAAAAACCTAATAATCTCCGCAACCCTATACTGACAATTACCATGTGTTAGCTAGTGACTAGCTTCGTGAGAGAATTCTCGAAGTTCTAGTGAGAAGCCGTGACCAGTTGAGCTAATCCGTATCGGGTAGAGACAGATATCTACCTCACCAATGGATGACGACTCAGTAGTTTAGAGTTTATGTATTCGCACTATAGATCTGTTAGATTTCATCGGAATCACGAACCATTGGATTAGTCAGCGGTGCTCAATCACGACCTCATGAACAATTAGCAAAACTTGCCAAAGCAATCCCGAACCATCCACAATATCAATAGAGAACCTCCAGTCTCATATGAGACCTTTAGCTCTACATAATCATATAGCTTAGTGAACAAAGATGTTATGTTTAGCGATAACATAGTTTTGTCATTTATATTCATATCTTTTTATTTTATTCATAAATTCAACTACACCTTTTCATGTTATGCTTAATCAATTCTTGGTATAATAGTTCTAATAATCTCATCAACAATTTGGTTGTCAAATAAAAATAATGAGTTTGACATATCCAGAATTGAGAGTAAACGAACCTTCATGGTTGATGAATCTTATGTAAATCATAAAGTAATCTTCTTATCTTTATTTACTACTAAATAGATAAAATGAATTTAGTCACACATATATAAAAAAAAGACAAATAACTTACAATGTTTTATGTTCATAATTATAACGTACATACTCAGGATCTTTCACTTGATAACCTAGAAAGTAATAAGAATCTCAATTAAATAATCATAGTTATATTAATAATATTGAATAAATATATAATTCAGTAGTATCAGTCAGTCAGTCAGTCAGCTACAACGTTGGAATAGGCACATATGGTATACTTGAAACTTCTCATTGTTGTTTAGGATTACAATTGAACAGTCTCTTGTTGGTATATGTGCATTCTGTAAGAATTGCCTCAATATAGCCTTAAGTCACAAGATTTATAAGAAAAAAATTGATGGTGGTGGATAGCAATCGAATTCAGTTTGACTCATGTTTCATCCTATTTAGGACTCGTCAGCTATATATGCTTGCATCTCTAAGTTTATATTGGAATCGTAGAGTGAACAACAACTCTGAGATGCATTTACATCCAGCTGATGAATCTTAAATAGAATGAAATGCACATTCTTAATCTCAGTGTTAACAATTATCCATCTTTGTTGATAAGTAGATCAAGATTATAATTTCAATACAAATCAATCATTTATATACGCCTGTTCAATCATAAGTAGATTACTTGAAAAATACATTGATTAGAAGAAAGATGAATATGCATCTTAGCATATTGACCATAGACTATCGTCATTTGAATCATTAGATCAATTTTTTTTAAAAAAAAAGTAGGAAGTTTTCGTCTATCATTTATGTTAGACTATAATGTTGGTTGCTATGCCAAACTCATATCGTTTATTCTAGTTTCCGGACAAACCAATTTATTTATTCATTTCAAGTTACATTTTGACCTTGTTAATTATTGACTTACCAACCTTAACTGTTTTTTCATGTCAGTGTATGTATGTCTGTGTGTGTGTGCATTTCGTATCTTACTCATCACATGTTTGTAACTGTTCGGCTACAAATATCGATTAATGCTTAGTTATAAATCGAATTGATTTACATGCCTACTCCATTGCAGGTTATTTCATTTCACATTTTTCTCTTCGCTTTCTTCACTATGTTTCTTCGATCATTCGTCTGGATCAACGATTGAATGAAATACATATATTCGAAATCTATTCATATATTTGATTTATTTCATTCCGTTATTCACTGACGCATTTTAAATCGTAGCTTATATACAACGGTTTCAATACAAATGTCAAGACAGTTCTACTTGTTGTAACGGGTGAGATTGCAGGTTTAATGCACAGCGTTTTTATCGATCAACTCAGTGACACGTAAACACGTAATGAACAACTTAGAGTCCCGATTGGCCCTTGCTTCCCTGTCTAGCCCAGCCAGTTGAGTTCAGAACGCAAGTCACAACCTCTGAGATATGAATCATTATATTTCAGACATACTCTGTTTATATACCAAACAAACGAACCACATTGTGCCATAAAATAGAAAACAACATTTACACAATATTTAACAAGTGAAATAAATATCGACCAATAGGGAGTGTACATTTAAAGTTCAAGGCCACCATTAGACTTAACACGATAATTATTGGTATATTTTCCTGAACACCCTAACACTACTGTATGAGGCGGAAACCTGAAGAACTACGAAAGCCATCATCCAGAAGTTTCAGGTGTTTATTAACAGTTGTCTACGCAAAATACTTCGAATCCGTTGACCGGACACTAGTAGCAACAACCAACTGTGGGAAAGAACAAACCAAATCCCAGCGGAGGAAGAAATGAGGAAGAAGCGCTGGAAGTGGATAGGATATACATTGAGGAAAGCACCAAACTGCGTCACAAGACAAGCCTTCACATGGAATCCTCAAGGCCAAAGGAAAAGAGGAAGACCAACGAACACATTACGCCAGGAAATGGAAATAGACATGAGAAAAATGAACAAGAATTGGATGGAATTAGAAAAGAAGGCCCAGGATAGAGTGAGTGGGTTAGAGAATGCTGGTCGGTGGCCTATTCTCCATTAGGAGTAACAGGCATAAGTAAGTAAGTAAGTTATATACAACGGTAGCTAGGATGTATATTTCCATAACTCAATGGCAATCATTCGTACAATTCAACTGGAGTCAGATATTACAGAGCCATTAATAGGCACAAAATCTTATACTGAAGAAAATCAAGAAAAGTACTATGCACTACATCATTTTACATACTTTTTGTACTTGTAATATACGTTTGATATTACTATTATTACCATTAATATCATTTTAATGATAACTGGTTTCTTAATGGTTAACCTCATGCATTTTAACTACCTATTCGTCATTAAATATGATGAAGTGAACATGTGATTTATAATGTATAAATAATCCGAAGGGGTTTATGGAGATTTTAGGAATTTCACAGATTGAAATCATGAATCAATTGAAGCTAGACCAACATGGAAAACCTGGAAGCACTGGACGGCCGTTTCGTCCTAGTATGGGACTCCTCAGCGGTGCGCATCCACGATCCCGCACCCCACGAGATTCGAACCCAGGACCTATCAGTCTAGCACCTGACTGACTTCAAGAGATACTCCTGGAGTTCTAGTGAGAAGTCGTTACCAGTGAAGTTCAATCAGGTCTGTTGTGAGATATCAGCTCACTGAAGACAATGGTATAAGTTGGCGCAACTTCGTGGATTGGTTGAAATTAGACATTAACACCATTGGATGCCGGCTCAGTGGTCTAGTGTATAAATAACTCAAAATTGTTGTGGTGTATGCTACTTATGTCGGCAGACATATGAAGTAGTCAATGTATGATTCTTATATTTTATCAAGAGATTCTGTTATTTTGTATTAAACAATAAATTAGTTGTCCTCATCTAAATGTTCATTCGTTATACTTCATGACGTTACCTAAGGGAAGCCGAGAAGAGTGCAGTTCTTCGAACGCTTTTGGCGGCCTCAGAGAGAAGTCACTAGTTGGGGTTATCAGTTTCGGCGGAGTGACGTCGGATAGAGTGTTCTGGAGGAGTGGCGTTGGCTGTAACGGTTTCTGTCAACGGAGAGGGGCAGTAGAACATGTGACTGTTGAGTGGACATCGGGTCTAAATGGCCCGGCTAGTCAACATTGCTACAGAATTTAGCGCGCCGACGGACTCCACATTTTGACGGAGAACGTAGCACAGACTTTGGCAAAAGAGAAACTGGCACAGCGAGTAGAACTACCATAAGAAAAAACTATTTAAAAGGGGAATAAGTGTGACGTTTGCTACTTATGCCAACAGACATATGAAGTAATCAATGTATGATTCTTATAATTTACCGAGAAATTCTGTTATTTATAATTTATGATTCTAATATCAATTATTAAAAATACTTTGAAAGTAGATAAGTGAAATACAACTAACCTTTCTTAGTTAATTCAATTACTATATTTGCCATTATTTCAGCTTTAATAGCGGCTACTTCAGTCTCTTCTGAATCAATTTCCAATGCTGTAAACAAAATAATAAAAAAGAATGCATTATTTTGGTGGGGGGGGGAGAGAGAGAGGTATTCATTTACACTTATACAAAGATTTCCTTTCATAAATCCTCTTTAAAGTATTCATACCAGTAAAGTACAGAAAACAAATGCCATTAATAATTAATGATCAGTCATAATATGGGTTTTCAAAAGAAACTATCATCATATATATAAGGAGAAATGATCATAATTCCTACTTTTTTGAAGTTTCTACGGTAAGACTATTAATTTATGGACGAATCAATCAGATTTAAGAGAACAGCTCTTGAATTTTGGCGCGACATTCATTGGCTTAATTGCGTTTTGGTATTTTGGCTGATATCAGTTTGTGATAAAAACCATCAACTAAAAATCATAAATTTAATTCTTTACACTGGTCTATAACTGGCATTTAGCTCTAGTAACAAGGTGAACATTGTAAAAGTCACTTTAGCGTTGCTCAAAGGTCATTCAGTAAACTATAGTCTCACACTTTTTGTGCAATATTTACTTGTATCTTCCCATTGTTACTTAGGACTGCAATTGAGCAGTCTCTTACTGAAATATGTTCATCCTATTCGGATTGCCTCAATATAACTTTAAGTCACACGCTTTATAAGTAAAGATGGATGGTGGTGTCTAGCAGTGAAATCCAGTTTGGCAAGCGTTTCGTCTTATTTGTGACTCGTCAGCTGGATTTATCTGCATCTCAGAGTTGATGTTCACTCTGGGACTCGAACTCAGTGTCGTTCGCTTCAAACATCATCGCATTACCTACTTAGTTACTGAGTCTGGATAGCCGCCTGCTTGTGCAAACAGCTTGATAACCGAGGTCATCTCGATGGTAAATGCTCTAAAAAATGTATTAACAGACTAGGTCGAGACACATTAGACAGTACTCGCTCGATCGATATGAATCCATCGCAAATAAGCTCAGTAATAGTTGACTTACATGGATCAGATCAAAGGAGGAAAGACCGAATTCAAAGATGTCTGTCCTAAATAAAAACTCAAGAAAGGAAGTTTCCTCTGTCTACAATATTTATTTAGTTATTAAGCTTTTCATTTATTAAAATTACTAAAACCAATGAAATAAACTTTAGTTATGAAATTGTAAAGATAAGTTTGTCAAAACTAGACATTCTCTATATCTGCTATGAATGTATGATGAATGGAAATTATGGAGTTCATTTCGTAAAAATAGGTCCGTTGGTCGTTCTTTGACAAGATTGACCCATAAGAAATCATCTTGAAACATGGGTCAATGAGGAATAAAGTAAAAAATGTATAAAACTATCTATCATACAGCTTCCAATTAACCATGACCATTTTTTATCTAGATCTCTCCACAAATGCTTATCTTGTAGACCACTAAGCAGAACTTCAATGGTGTATATGTCCAACTTTAATCATTTATATTGCGCGACCGTCTCCGATTGTCTCCAGTTGGTACCTTCCTCATATCTGACATAGTCGAACTTCACTAGTCACAGCTTCTCACTAAAACAATGGAAATTTCCTCACAAAACCAGTTGCTAGTGAGCACATGATAACTATCTATGTTGATCGTTGAATCTTGTTGAGATCATGAACCAACTGAAATTAGGCATTCATTGAAAATCAGTAAATACTGAACCGCTGAGGAATCTCTTAATATAACACAATTAATATCGGTTCGTAATCGCAATAACAGTCTACAATCTACACAATCCTCACACTGGTACTGATTGACACAAACCGAATTCTACAATTCCTATTCAGAATACTCAAGCATACGACTAATATATAAACTTCTCATCACATTCATTATTTCCGATTAAGGCAAGAAAAGAATTTGTACGCGAATGATCGGCGAAACTCTAATTTATGGACGACCTTTGAACGAATCTTATGTGACCAATCAGCAAACGGTCAATGTGGAGTAAAAATATATTATACAAAACCAAGGAAATAAAGTGGATACACTTCTTATACGTAGATCAAAAAAATTGTCAAGGTTAGAAAGAGGTTCAGAGGTTCTAAAATTGTAATGTATGAAGTAGAGGAAATCATCCATACGGCTACAGAATAGTTGGCCTCTGGAGCCATGATAAACATTTAAAAACTCTTTCAGCCTCGACCACATAATTCCAATATTGTTTAGGTGTACTCCGGTTGTTGAGTGCACAAAATATCACTTGTGGATAACGAAACGATGCACATAACCAAACCTATGTAGGAGTCTGTACGCTCTCCAAACCTCCGAATATATTGTAGTACTCGGCTGCAACCAGTGTTAGTGGTGCTTTTATTATCCAACTCGCAATAATTTGCCTTAGTTAGGAATTATATATGGGGTTTTCATCACAAACTGACATCAGCTATAATGCCAGAAATTTATTTAGCCAAATGGATGAAAGGCTTTCGCGTTAAAATTCGAAATCTATTATCTTATACTTGATTGATTCGTTCACAAATTATAGTCTCGCCGTTTTATTTGTTATAACCACTCAATTATCATGTTTTGTACAAAATTCCCTGTGAACCGATCGTACGTTAGCATTAAGCACTGAAGTTTGGCGCCGTGACCTTGAAACCTCTAAAACGCCTCTAATTGGCTCGTCCATAAATTAGAGTCTGGCCACTTTAGAGATGACATAATATATGTATCTCTTCAGTCTAATTCTACAACTTATTATTCCTACTTATAATATGATCCTAGCAACAGATCATAATGTTAAGCTTGACAAGTATGTTTGCTATTCAACACTTAATTTCGCATGTAATCAATCAATACAAATAGCTTAATTGCTTAGTTTAATTCAGATTTATATCATATAATCTTCATGATAGTTCAGAATGGAATTAAGTTTGATTATGCATAAGTCATATCATATTACACATCTAAATGTATGCGAATGGTGATATGAATGAACTGTAAATTATTTATAAGGTAATCTCATTCCTTTATATCTTAGTAAGGTACAATATTTCTCATGTTTCATATTATTATAGTTTATCTGTCTTTGTAGATTTCTACTTACTTAATCTTCCCCTTCATTTATTGTATACAATGTAGTTTGACTTACAATAAACTTAGAACTCATAAAAATTGATGACTTCTTTGATTTTGATTGAGATCTTGAACCAATTGATGTTAGACCATCACAATTGAAAACCTGGAAGGACTGGATGACCGTTTCGTCCTGCAGTGGGACACTTCAGCAGTGCGCATCCACGATCCTGCGAGCGGGATTCGAACCCAGGGCCTCCGATCTCGCGCCCGAACGCTTAACCAACTGGACCACTGAGCCGGCATCCAGTGGTGATAGTTTCTAACATCAACCTATCCACGAAATTGCGCGACCAACTTCCATTGTACTGATTGTTTATTGAAATCTTTCATCATATTAGATGCTTTGAATCATAAGTTTGAACTCTTATCAATCTATTAAAGTTAAACCAGTCATAGTTACTGATTTGATACAAGTTCTCAGCTATTAATATTATTCAACTTACTTATTAAATTGTAATGTTATATTATTATCCCTTTTAAAATACTAAACATTAACATGCAATCATAACTAATAATTGAAATGTGTATGAAATTTTTTTTACTTAGTAATCTATTTCACAGATCTAGGACTAGTTCGTTAAACGATAACACAAAGAAGATTGACAGATAAATTTATTAACTACATAAATAGAATAAAATGTTATGATTATTGTTAAAGGTATACTGAAGTTTTTAAAAAAATCATCAAATGAATGATTATGATGGTGGTTGACGGTAATCAATAGGAAACTCTGGACCTAGGATTCGTACTACTTAATAGCTACTTAGTACTCATCAGCAAGGTATACCTATAATCTTGAGGGAACTGATACTTCCTGACGGATGACATCCCAGGTCACCCAGGCTTCATAGTCAGAGACGTTACCACTGAGCTATTCATACCCAACCTAGGTCTAGGATCGAATCGCCTAGGCTGATGACCATATTGCAACTTAGTCGATAGGATTCGATCTACACTAAGAAGGATCAGATATACATGACATTGATCATCAATCAATTGAAAATTAATCATAAAAGAAGATCAAAGTGACTATAAAATCTGTAAGTTCTAAACTAGATCAACAATTTTACCATGGTTGACAAACCTTCAGAAATCTGAAACTTCCCCTTAACAGCTATTCATTCCATTTATTTTAAAATTTTCCATGTCTTAGTTAGTGCCAGTTTTAGACAAAAACTGTGAATAGATAATTTACCATAAATAGTATTGTAACCAACGTAGTAACTAAAGATACGAGAGATCAACTTATGAATTGAGATTTATGAGAATTTAATAAAATATACTTGATTGGATTATTCAAAAGAAGTACATGAAATCTTGATCCTTAACAGAGTTCCATATTTCATTCGTTGAAATCATGAGTCCAATGAAGCTAGAACACCATGGAAAACCTGAAAGCACTAGATGACTGTTTCGTCCTAGTATAGGACTCCTCAGCTGTGCCATATTGACATAAATATTTACATTTTGAAATTACAGTAAATACTTAATTTGTATTATCTCATACTTGATTGTTTCATTAACAAATATCAATCCATCATTTTAGATTTTATTAATTCTACATTTTCATATCAATTGCTTTCTGTTCCCGATTCTTTCCTTCTCGATCTTCTATTGAAATACATTCTATACCTGACAACCGTTATATACTACTTAAATGGATATAGATAGCTAACACCATGATATCACTGACTAAAACTTTACTTTCATCATTCAGTATATTACAATTAATATAATTTATTATTACAATCATAACTATCACATCTATGACATAAAAAACCACTAATTCTTTCATGTCAAATAATGTTGTATTTAGAAAGAAAAATTCCTATGAACACTATACACTTACTTAAATATATAATTATCTAATATTCAACAAAATATTAATCAAAATATGTTACTAGGGATACATTTAGTAACTAAGGCTTATTGTT